CTCTTGCGCTTTACAATCACACTCAACCTTCACAGAATTTTCCACAAATGATCTTCAGCTTTCCTTAAAATTTCACGCAGGAGTAAGAGAAGTCCTTCTGGTTCTCGAGCACTTTTTTCTGTTCTTGGATATTATATGTTAATAATTTCTAAACTGATCATACATTATTTTTGTTAAACAATTGTATCACTGTTGCCTCATGGCACTTATTTCAATGGGAGGAGGTTTGTTTTCAGGTCTGAGCCAGAACTTGCAATTTCCTGATAAATAGTCGCTTAGAACTGGCCATTGAGAAATACTGGATTGAATAGGATTTACTTACCAGCAAATGTGTTTAGGATTGCAACCTTGTGTATTAAGTGTGACTGTTTTTTTGTGAAGATGAATAGATGAATGAGAAGTAAAGTAAAGCAAAGCACATAGTTTGTCTCCTCCCTCCAATAGCTTTGTTAATCTGCCTCAAAAATATCAGTGGTAATCAGAAAAAAACAACCTGGAAGTAAATTCGGGTATTCACTCTAATTCTGTTGTTGAAAAGAACTGGGCATCTCTACCTATTGACTTGTCTTCCTGTGGTTTCATGGAATGCTAATGAACATAATAATTGCTAAGGAATTAATGTTAACACAGAGAAAGTTGGAAGGGATTGTAAATTTTGAGAAAGAGTGAAAGAAGTGAGGAATCTGTATTAACTTCAACACTGATCAACCATTAGGTTCCCGTTACAATCTTTATAATAGCTTAGGAAAAACATATTAATGAATGTTCACAGGAACATACTTTCCAAACTAAAGGTGTCTGTGTAGATTGCCATTTAGGACACTTAACATGGTTGTGATTTTGAAGCAGTGAGTGAAGTGTCAATTTAAAGTGAGAACTTTTGCTGAATAAGAGTCATGATGTTAGAAAATTGTGATTGTCAGAGCTTCACCCTGACATCATAGGGACAAACATCCCTGCCATTTGGCTGAGCTTCTGTGATAGTATGGAATAGTCTCAAGCTTTGTAATTACTTGGGTCAACCTTACATTTATTTAACCACTAGCCTGGTAGCCATAGGTGAGAGAAATTGCTTGCAGTCGAGTGTGTGGAATTCATACAGTCCAGTGAATAGGCTGGTGGAAGAGGGATGGAATGCTCTTTCCCGCCTCTGTGCCCAGCATAGAAATGCAGCAGGCTGCTGCAGGAGGGTTGGAGCTCTCAGTTTCTCTTCTGCAAACCCCCAATAAAACCGGTACCTTTTGTGGATACCTAAATCAGCCTTGAAAGTATCAGCAGAGGGGTAGAGGGGGGACTATATACACTTGAGGGGAAGGGGGTCATATTAGCGAGGTGATAGAGATTTGAAATAAGCCATTCCAAACTGCTGTTTTTAATATAAGGATCCTTGTTTGCATGAAATTGAAATTAAGTATCTGAACCTTCTGAGATTGTTTTTGTTTATGGATCTATTTTTTATTTTACAAAAATTGGAAAAAACAAACTTTAAAGCGACTTTAAGAACAAAAAGAAACAGAGAGAAAAGGTGAAATTATATCTGTACCTCATTCCACCTACATCCTACCCCTCAATGTCTGTTCCCTCACAATTCTACTATATCAAACATTCAATGGAATATATTCATAAATCCACACGCAAGAATTTGAAATAAGTTTGCTCATTTGATAATCTACCAATTATAGACATGTACAGAATTCAAAGCTGTGAGCAAATGATTGGTCACTCTGTTTTTAAACTGAACATAAATATTCCAAATGGTTACCAAGACCCAGATTAAGGGCAGGAGCTAACATGATTCCATCCAGAGCTTTGGGAGCAGTTGCAAGGCTGGCATCAGCAGTTGGCATTTTCAGGCAGCTCCCAGGACCTCTGTGTCTCAATAGGGCCCATTGCTGATGCCTCTCCTGGATTCCCGTAAATAGACAGGACACACACACACACACACACACAGTCGTACCTTGGATCCTGAACGCCTTGGTACTTGGACATTTTGGCTCCCAAACGCCGCAAACCCAGAAGTGAGTGTTCTGGTTTGCGAACGTTCTTTGGAACCCAAATGTCCGATGGGGCTTCTGTGGCTTCCCAATTGGCTGCAGGAGCTTCCTGCACCCAATCAGAAGCTGCGCTTTGGTTTCCGAATGTTTTGGATGTCGAACGGGCTTCCAGAACAGAGTCCGTTCGACTTCCAAGGTACGAGTGTGTGTGTGTGTGCGCGTGCGCGCTGCTCTGAGAAGCACTTACCGGCTGCTTCCAACAACCACCCTAAATCTCCCACAGTGCCCTAAAGCAAAACTACATCACAGATATCCTGAAAAAAATAAAATGAAAATCTGAGCCACCTGTTGGGACTGCTTGGAGCATTTGCTTCAGCTCCAATTAAACCCACCTAAGCTGGAGAATGGGCATCTGAGGGCAGTTTGTTCAAAAACCCTCCTCAAACCTGTGACCTCAGTGCACACAGGTTTTCAGCAAAAGCAAAGTCTTCTTAAAACTGACTTTTATCAAATAATCAAGTTTGATTTGAATAAAGCATCCTTTCAATTAGTTTCTAGACTGATATATAAATGTGATTCTCCCAAGTTATTTTTCAACACGAACAAACATAGAAAACCTCTCAGGCCAATTTGGAGAAAGCGCATAAAAGTGACAGAAATCCTTTTAATCATCTACTCTTATTTATTCACACATACTAAGTATATTATGAATTAATAAAACATTATTAATAAAAATGTATTGGAAGTTTAAAAAGAGCCTTTAAATTAAGGCAAACTATTTTTCTCTTTGGTTATAAAAATCACTCCTCATAAATACTTTAGCACCTCTGATTAGAATTAGCACCACAATAGTCTTTGTCCTTAATAGTGCATATGCATGAATGAATATTCCTTAGATTCTTGCCTGAAATATAATAAATGTTGGTTTTTGAATATCAGATATGACTCTTAAAAAATAAATAATGACATTCTCCCTATCTGATGAGAGAGATGTTGCATGTATTTGCAAAAGTTGAATAATCATTCCTTCATATACACAAAATTGATTTCAGCTGGCAAACCTCATAGTTGGGCCTTCACACACATACTAGGCAGTTAAATTTCAGTAGGCATACTTGGGGTTGCAGTGAGAGTGTATCAATGTACGATACTGGATTTCTGTACTGGTCTGCAAACCATATGTAGTACTAAGTAGGTGTTATGCCCAATATAATAAAACAGTTTATCTCATTAAATTATATATAACTTTATAAACATGTGAACTTATTTACAACGAATCTCTGTTCTTTAGTCCTACAAAGAAGCAGAACTTTACTATGTGTAGATATTTGCTTGAGAGCCTTTTCTTACAGATAACGTTTATAAAAGCATTCATTATGTCCTATATGATGTCATATCATGTGAATTGTATGTAGAGTTGTTTTGTTTACTGAGGTATTAGTACTTTGGAACTTATTTGCCTAAGAGAACCAGTCACACCTGGGCACTGCTAGATTATTTAATTTATAGGTAATTTCTACCTTTATGTCCCTCTCCAACTCTCATTCTCAGGTTTCATTCAGAATTAACCCCCTAGAGCTTCCCCTTCCCAACATATAAATGCCAAACCCCCTTTTCACTTTCCCAGTTTTATTTTTGAAGCCACTTTGAAAGTTTCTCTTCTCAGTGTAGAAAGTAAAGTCTCTTTTCTCCACTTCCCACTTACTATTTACTCCTCCTCCTCCTCTTTATTCCCGCCCTACCTTGCCCCACCACTTCGCACTGTTTTCATTGGCTATTTCCCAGTGTCAGAGCAGTGTAAATATAATATAGAGTAGGTATTTTCAAACTTTTCATTCCAAGGACCCACTTTTAACCCAAAAATGCATTTGACAACTCATTTCTTAATCTTTTAACATATATTTGTATGGTGGTAATGCTCCTGTTGTGACCCACCTTGGATCAAGCTGTGACCCTCAAGTGCATCCCGACCTACCAGTCGAAGACCAGTGATATAGGGAGATGTAAGCATTTATACAGTGCCCTTCTAGTTCTCCTGTACCATTCAGGATAATTGAACTGCCTTACCACATCATTCAGCTCCTCCTTCCTAATTTCTTTTTTGAATTCAGCTATAACACTTATTTTTCTGAGCTGTGCAAGATGTCCTTGGCATCCCATTAAGCTCCTTTCTTTACTTGGCAAAGTCGAAATGCCCAGGTCAAATAATAAAAGCCAGATTTAGAAAAATAAAAATCCAGATTTTTAATTTTACCTGTAATCTACTGCTTTCTGCGATTAAACTGAACATTAATATGGAACATACTAAACCCTGAATCAATGATGCCACTTTTGCCATTTCTCTGTGTTTATTTTATTTACTTCATAAAATGTATACACCGCTTGATTGTAAAGCAGATAATGAGCTAGATCAATAGAAAGCGTGTCAACCTTTCTGGATTCGGCTATGTAGTTGTGGAGCTACTCATGGACTAAAATGCAGTCAAGGAATCTGGGCATTGCTGGGCCACAATCCTTTCTCAAGCCTTCTGTGCAACACATACCAAATCTTTGACTGACTAAAAAAAGATTACACTTTTGCTGTGGATGGTATTAAGTCACACAATCCGACTCCCACTTCACAAGACATTACAGTGTCCTCTTTATATCATATATTTAACATAGTTGGCAAGTGTATAAAATGTATGAAAGGGATTGATGAGGTTTTTTTGTGTGTGCTGCATATGATTGCTTATGTAAGCCTAATGCAATGTGACACTTTCCCTGAACTTTAGTTAGAAGATTGACAATATTTCTGGTTCCAGGAAGAAGTATGATGAATATTGTTGTTGTTGTTATTGTTGTTATTATGGTTTTTGTCACTTGACCTGAAATTACCCTTGTATTACCACATGTAATAACTGAACTGTACAACTACTAAACTTGGCAATCTGTGTAAGAAGAAGGCTAGTTTGCCCTAAAAGTATTGGGACTGGCATAAGGATCGGTATCTTTTTTGTCTTGCAGCCATGAGACGCAGACTACATGCTGGGATCATCCTAAAATGACTGAGCTCTACCAGTCCTTAGGTAAGATAATTTTTCATATTCAGCTGATTGGTTCTGAGGAATATTTTCTAGAGAAATCACAACAACCTTGAGTGCAAATACCTGCATTGAGGCAAACTTTTGAAACGGAAACATAGGAAAAAAGGAAAATCTTAGCTTTAAGTGTCAGCAAATGCTTTAAATGTTCAGTTCTTTCATGTTTTATAATAAAGGTGCATTGCAGAGATTTTACCTTTTAAAAACCAACTAGTTAGCATGAGCACACACCCCTCTCAGTTGAAAACAAGGCCCAGCATTAACTGAAGGCAAGCCTCGTCAATGTGTTGGACCCATCTTGTGGGTTGATTTACCGAATTTGGGGCATGAAGGTGTGGCCAAGGGGGATTGTTTTCTTTGCTTTAAGCCAAAAAACCCTTCTCCAGTTGCTGCACATCCCTTGGCTTCCAGCTGCATTCCAAAAACAAAAAACCCAACAACCTTATCTCTGCAGTCCTGTACCTTGTGTTTTTTTCTGGAACCAGAAATGTAGCTGGGGACATGAAGAGAGAGGCACAGAGTGACCGTACAATGTTTAAAGTGCAGGCAAAAAGCATTTGGGGTGTGTGCGTGCTGCATGATCATTTGTTCTGTCTGCCCAAAAGGAAATGCAGGGAGGTTGCAGAAAGGGAGACAGATTGACAGGCTTTGATATGTTTCCTCTTTTTCTGCACTTTAAACTTTTGTGGCAATCTCACACCTTTCTGTGTGCACCTTCCAAAACTCTGTGTGTGGTCCACAAAGCGCTGTATAGTATTTTCAGTACCTTTATGCTGGGAATAAAATAAGCCATATGCAAGACTTTCCTCAGAGAATAGTATCTGTAGTGCACTCACATACTATAAGGTTAGCATGCAGCAATCATGTTTAAGAACAGCTATTCTCACTTCAAATACAGTGGTGCCTCGCAAGACGAAATTAATTCGTTCCGCAAGTTTTGTCGTCTTGCGATTTTTTTCGTCTTGCGAAGGACGGTGTCGGGAAAGTTTTGGAAAAGCTTCAAAATCACCAAAGTCTTCAAAAACCTCAAAAAAGGCTACCACACCGCGTTCTATGAGTTGCTCCTCGAAGTCAAGTCGCAACTGTATTAATGGTGTTAAGAAAAAGGAAACAAACTTGCAAGACGTTTCCGTCTTGCGAAGCAAGCCCATAGGGAAAATCGTCTTGTGAAGCACCTCAAAAAACGAAAAAACCCTTTCGTCTAGCGAGTTTTTCGTCTTGCGAGGCATTCGTCTTGCGGGGCACCACTGTACTGTAGGCTAGGGGTTGGCAACGTGCGGCCCATGGGCCGGATGTGGCTCACAAAGACCGCTTTACCGGCCCATAAGCCACCCCTGAACCAAGCCGCCCACTCGGCAAGTCTCCCACGTGCTGCGCTAAACTGGCGCAGCGCGGCGACTTGCTGAGCAGCGCCGGAAGTTGCGTCTGCACACACGCAGATACTGGAAATTGTGTGTGCGCATGTCCAGACGCCAAAAATCGCTTCTGCGCAGACATGATTTCCAGTGTCTGGGCATGCATAAGCGCGATTTCCGGCGCTGCGCTGTGACAGTCTGGCCCATGGACAAGCTCCATGGGAGTGATCTGGCCTATGGCTGGTAAACCTTGCCGACCCCTGCTGTAGGCTATAGTTGGAGATTGCTTCTTTAATGTTTCCCCATCTTCCATTATGTTGCTCCATTGGCCCTTGAATATCTTGTGCTTTTGCTTTGAATGGATGTATGGAAAGGAATATATATTTCAGAATAAGGTCCCACTCCATTTTGTATGTCACCAGCAGGTTATTTTGATATGTGAGATACAAATATTTTAGCCATAGTTGAAAAGTGATTATTTTATTCTATTTGCAATATAAATTATTATCAAACAGACAAATAAAAACCCAGTGTAAAATAAAGATAGCTTTTGAATTCAGTAAAAACATGATCTATTTTTGGCATATAGAACATGGGGTTACAGATGTTTATATTTACATTTTAGCTAGGAATGACAGAAATTTTGTATCTGTGATGCATGGGAAGGGATTTTTAAATATATTTGGTGCTTCCAAACCCTGGAACCCTGTCAGAAATACTGTAGAACAGGGTAAAATTAGTATACTAGGCACAGTATAATACTTTATATAAACTGAACAATTCAAAATCAATCCATTTACTCTTGGGCAGAATCTTTAATGTGTATTCAGTCCTTCCCTTGGCCTTGGGTTGGAATGGATAATAATAATAGGATGTTTCTGAAGCCCTTTAAGATTTTCTAATTTGTATAAAAAGTTAAAATTAAAAGTACATTTTATATTGCATGTTTATTACCTATATTATCCCTTGCTCTAACATGCACATACCAGGATGAAATCTGGTTTCCTGGTTGAAGTGATGCTCATAGTTTAAGAAGGCTTAACTGCCCTTTTACAAGCTTGGTGGTGATTTAAAAATTGTATCCATTAGTTTTAGAAGAATGTAGTCATGCCTTATACAGCATCACAAGCCCATGCAGAAGTTTTCTTCTTTCCTCTTGAAGTTATAAATCTAACATGCAGAAAATCAAATCATTTCCCCACATAAAATAACCTATTACAGTGGTGCCTCGCAAGACGAAATTAATTCGTTCCGCAAGTCTCTTCGTCTTGCGGTTTTTTTCGTCTTGCGATGCACGGTTTCCCATAGGAATGCATTGAAAATCAATTAATGCGTTCCTAGGGAAACCGCCTTCAGACCAGGTCCGGGGACAGTCTGTCCCCGGACCTCTTCTGAAGGCTGGGGGGGGGGGACAAGGGCTTTTCTTCCCACCCCCAGCATTTTAAAAAACCCTGGGACAGCGGAGGACTTCTCCGCTGTCCAGGGCGATCTTAAAATGCTGGCGGGCGGCAGTTTAAAATCGCCCCGGACAGCGGAGGACTTCTCCGCTGTCCGGGGCGATTTAAAAGCCCCTGGGAAGGCAGGCAGGGGGGACAAAGACTTTCGCCCCCTGCCCGCCTTCAGAAGGTGTTCCCGCCCCCCGCCCCGCTTCGGAACAGCTTTCCGAAGTGGGGCGGCTGGGGCAGGTGTCCCCGCCCCCCCTCCCCACTTCGGAACAGCTTTCCGAAGTGGGGCGGCTGGGCAGGTGTCCCGCCCCCCCCGCCCCCCTTCGGAACAGCTTTCCGAAGTGGGGCGGCTGGGGCAGGGTGTCCCGCCCCCCCTCCCCACTGTCTGAACAGCTTTCCGAAGTGGGGCGGCTGGGGGCAGGTGTCCCCCGCCCCCCCTCCCCACTTCGGAACAGCTTTCCGAAGTGGGGCGGCTGGGGCAGGTGTCCCCGCCCCCCCTCCCCCAATTCGGAACAGCTTTCCGGTAAGTGGGGCGGCTGGGTCAGGTGTCCCCGCCCCCCTCCCCCCTTCGGAACAGCTTTCCGAAGTGGGGCGGCTGGGGCAGGTGTCCCCGCCCCCCCTCCCCCCTTCGGAACAGCTTTCCGAAGTGGGGCGGCTGGGGCAGGTGTCCCCGCCCCCCCTCCCCGCATCGGAACAGCTTTCCGAAGTGGGGCGGCTGGGGCAGGTGTCCCCGCCCCCCTCCCCACTTCGGAACAGCTTTCCGAAGTGGGGCGGCTGGGGCAGGTGTCCCGCCCCCCTCCCCACTTCGGAACAGCTTTCCAAAGTGGGGCGGCTGGGGCAGGTGTCCCCACCCCCCCCTTCGGAACAGCGTTTTAAAATGCTGGGGGTCGGCAGCGAAGCGCTCCCGACCCCCAGCATTTTAAAACCTCCCCGGGACACGGGGAGATTTTAAAATGCTGGGGGTCGGCAGCGCTTCGCTCCCGACCCCCAGCATTTTAAAACCTTCCCGGGACACGGGGAGATTTTAAAATGCTGGGGGTCGGCAGCGCTTCGCTCCCGACCCCCAGCATTTTAAAACCTTCCCGGGACACGGGGAGATTTTAAAATGCAGGGGGTCGGCAGCGCTTCGCTCCCGACCCCCAGCATTTTAAAACCTCCCTGGGACACGGGGAGATTTTAAAATGCTGGGGGTCGGCAGCGCTTCGCTCCCGACCCCCAGCATTTTAAAACCTCCCCGGGACACGGGGAGATTTTAAAATGCTGGGGGTCGGCATTGCTTCGCTCCCGACCCCCAGCATTTTAAAACCTCCCCGGGACACGGGGAGATTTTAAAATGCTGGGGGTCGGCAGCGCTTCGCTCCCGACCCCCAGCATTTTAAAACCTCCCCGGGACAGAGACTTCTCTGCTGTCCCTTGGAGATTTTAAAATGCTGGGGGTCGGCAGCGAACGCTTCGCTCCCGCCGCCAGCATTTTAAGATCGCCCCGGGCAGGCGGGGGAAGGCAGGCGGGGGGGAGCAAAGACTTTTGCCCCCCGCCGGCCTTCAGAAGAGGTCCTCTTCTGAAGGCCGGCTGTGGGCGAAAGTCTTTGCTCCCGACCGCCAGCATTTCCCTATGGGCTTTCGTCTTGCGATGCAAGCCCATAGGGAAATTCGTCTTGCGAAGCGCCTCCAAAACAGAAAACCCTTTCGTCTTGCGGGTTTTCCGTCTTGCGAGGCATTCGTCTTGCGGGGTACCACTGTATATAGCAAGCTTTTCTGTTAAGGAAAATATATTCCCCAGTTCTCCCTGTTCTATCATTTTTTATGTGATTCTCTTTATAGGTTCACCTTTTTGTTTGCCCCCCCCCAATGTATTTCAGCTTTTGATTTTCTATAACACAATGGTTGACAGCACCACACTCTGTTTCAATGACAGATTGTGGTTTGCTTTTGCTTTTTAATGATTTTGCGAGAAGATAACCCTGCACACGGTTTTTTTGTTTATTTTATACCACATATCCAAAGTTGTAAATTACCGTACTGATGGTACCGTATTTGCTATTACTACCTGGTTGTCTTATTTAAACCATAGGTTTTTAGTATTGTGCTTTCTTTATCATTCAGTAGTTCATCTTTGAACTATTTGTTTGTCTTTACAATTGCAAATACTATTTTCTAACAGCATGTTTCATTAACCACTAATGTG